ATTTTATTACTTTATAAAAAACCGGAAATCTTTTCCAATAGTAGACAAATTCAAATACCTCCCATCCACATTACCCTCATTGAATTAACAACGGGCGGAAAAAGATTAGCGTATAACAGCAAACAGAAATGAAAGGAAAGGCCAATAAAGAGCTGCTTATAGAAATTGGTCCGTCATTATTTCATGATATCAAGGCAAGGAGGTTAAGATAGGCATCTTAGCTAAGCGCAACAATGAATGACTCAATATGCAAAGATCACATGAAAGGCCAAAACCGAGATAAATAGATCAAATCAACAAAAGTACAGTAGAGCTACTTGCAGATAATTGGAAACGAATGACCCAAAACATACTGAGATAAAGAAGGCTAGTGAAGGCGGCAAAGTATGTACAAGGCACCTAATAGTCCGTGCTACAGACCACTTTTTATGAAATTATTAACATCCGCCTGAAACTCCGTAAATAGTTTCATTTCATCGTAACCGACAACTATTTTAATTATGAAAACTCTTGGAATTGGGTTGTTCTCAATCTTTGTCTCAATCTTTGGAGGCAAACTTTGTCTATTTCATTTGGTACTAAAAACTCGTAAATACCCATTTGCTTTCTATTTGGATCCTAAGATAAATTGATCACAAAATAGATGAAAAAGGTGGCCTAGAAAAATATTGGACCGTTTGTCCTGTATAATCTCCTTATTTTCAAAATTTGGAGGTGTGGGTCACGCCAAACGCCTCAATATTTTTGAAGGACGCCTTTTTTTCTCGACTTTATGATCAAATTATCTTACGATCCAAATTGAAAGCAAATGTGTATTTACGAGTTTTTAGTACCTAATTAAATAGACAAAATTTGCACTCCTCCAGATTGAAAACGCCCCAATTTTTGTAAATAAAATAGTTGTATGTTACGATAAGATGAAACCATGTAGGAAGTTTCAGTCGTATTTTAATAATTCGATAAAAAGAGGTCTGTACCACGGACTATAATTCCAACAAAAAAAAATTATTTCATATTAATTATGTATAATCGTTATACGTAATATATAAAATCTATCATAGTTTTATTTCTCATCATGGTCAGTCGTTTTCAGCGTTTCTATCTTTTCGTTTTGTTTTTGTAATTTTCTCGTCCAAGTATATTCTGATGGTTATGTTACATATTACAGGAAGGTCTCGATAATTCCAAGCCCTAGCAATCTGAAAACCCTAGTAATCCGGACAAGAAAGAAGAAAAGTTGAATTAACGAGAGTTTCTCAGTACATATTACCGGCATTGCTTCGTGTAGTAGTATCGAAATAGTATTATTGAATTTCTAAAACGAAAAAATTAAAATTAGGCGGTCATTCAGAAGTTGAGGAATCTCTTTTTATGTATTGTTTGTGGGATCAGGCGTTTACTTTAAGAATAACATCAGAACACATAGTACATTATATGATTTTCAGTTAAATTTCAGTTATATATCACCTTCATAATCGAATCCCTCTATACCGCTGTGTAATGTGGGGATGCTCTCGGTAAAGGTTATTTATTGTTAGACCAAGTGTCTGTCTCCCATACCAGCTCTCTCCTCCTACTCCAGTCCAGCCCTTCTGATCCAGCAATCGCTGAATGCCTCCCGTTCTCCTTCCTCCCAAGAGATCCGTAGTCTTTCTCTCGATCTTCTCCTGTTCACTATTGTTCCACACGTTAATCTGGCCGTTCTCTCCATGGTCATCCTTAGGAAATGCTCAAACCATCTTACTTAATTCTCTTCTAGAGTGGTTTTGATCTCTCTTGGTCTTTCCTCCCAGCTTTTTCAGATATTTCATCTCCATTGTCTGGATCTGCCTCTTGTATTTTGAGGTAAGAGTCCATGATTAGGGGGAGTAAGATAGGATGGATAGGTACAGTGACTTGTAGACTGATAGCTTTGTCTTCTTCGTCATCCCTGTTTTGTTGAGGAAGCCTTTCAGGATTGAGTGGGACATTCTTCCAGCTGCTCACTGCGACACCTCTATATCGATGTGCCAATTTTCGTTTATCCAGGCGTCTAAATATTTGAAATCCTGGATCTTTCCCAAAATATTTATGTTGAAAGACTTTGGAACAGTTAAATACCATTTTCAGAAGTATTTTTGCTTAAAATGTGGTCATATTTAACTGATAAAACATATAATTTCGTTAACTCGTACATTTTTCCATCATTTTAAATTTAAACTTTGATAACCCGAACAGGCCATGCAATCTACGTGTCCGAATTATAAAGACTGTCCTTTACTTCATTAGGTTCCATATTAATTTTATTTCGTACTAAATGAAATTGTTTACAAAGCTAATTTTTTTATTTTTAGGAGCGAGAAACCTCAGAAAAATGCTTAAAAAAATTAATCATACAGAAGTTCATCGTTCCAATTATTTTGATTCTTGTAAAATAACTTGTGTTAATTAAACAACAGTGATTATTATTTTGAACACACAGTATCAGTTTGAACTGCTAATTGCAATTAACAGTTATGCTCTTCCCTGGTAGTAAGTGGTTATAACGAGGACTCGCCTAGCAAATGTTGCAGGAGCTAATCCCCCCGCTCCTATAAGACAACATTGATGATTTTGGATGTTCAACTATTATCCCCTTTATTGAGGATGGCTTAGGCACTATTTTTGAAGGAATAGATGTAAGAGAAAGGAGCTTAACGAAATTTGTTTAGGAAACATAAGAAAGATCTGATCTTATCCCCACATATATTATTACTGTAAGGCTCGAAATCGATTTTGTACCAAATATAAGCTCCTATCATGCTCAAATATCATGAATCGGGTACCGTTGGATTTATAATTCGCGGGGGGTTAGCGAATCGTATTCTCCACTTTGTTTTTCTTTCTAAAATAAATAAAGTCGGTACAAACATTATACTAGGCTTCGATACTGGAATGGTGGTAAGTATGTACATCTGTACGGGACGAATTGGGCTTTGAAGATTTTGATGTGTACGTTTTTATGCCTAAAAACGAACTAATTTCGAGATAACGCAAGGCATAGGGTTCACATCCACACAACCTTACATTAATTGTAGTACTGTCATTGAATACATGTCTCATTTCGTCGACTTCAGGCCTTTATGATCGAAAGAGGAGTAGTTTATATTATTTATAGTGTTTTTGATCGGCAAGCCATATCATCGTTAATTCTTCACCAAATCCCAAGATTGAGCCACCAAATCACCTCGAAAATTCAAGCACACAAGTTATGAAAGAAAACTTTATTTGCGAATAACTAAAAAATTACACACTTTTCCACTGGTCATACCCATGATTATATAAAAAATTAAATTCCCAACAAAAGGAAAAAAAAAACACTTCAAAATCGGACAATTTTTAACAAGACACAGCTTATTGAAATTTTTAATCATGTTGGTTCCAAAAAATAATGAAATTTTTAATTAATTTTTGTTTCCTTTATCGATTATATTTATCGATAAAGTAACAATTTATTTCTTTATCTTATGATTCGTTGCATAATTTTACTTTCTTATCTATTTGGCATTTGATCACTTTACAATATGCTGTGCGAATCTTTCGCACGGGCCTGCTAGTTCTATTTAAATAGAAGAAAGCCTAGAAATACTGCTACCATATCTTGGCAGGCTATGAGAAGTAGATAATAAAATACTGTATAGAGAGCTTGGGTATGGACAGGAAAGAAACCAGAAAATAATCCATGTCTATTCTATGAGCAGGCCAACTAGCAAGCTGAAGTTTTTTCTGTAAAGATAATGAAAACGAAGATGAAGAGGGAGTAGCAACTTAAAATTGCCCAGCAAAGAGTCTAGGAGAGCGGGGAAAGAAAAACCATGAACAACAACCACAATGTAGAATTCGATAATTAAACAACCCACCTAATATAAGCGATAAAATGTAATTATTCTATTTAAATCATATAAAAATTAATTAACTGACACATTAACACCATTGTAATAAATTTGGCCTCAACAAAACAATCAGTATTATAATTTAATTTAGAATATAGTAATCAATTGAATACTTCCTATTTTTTAGTCCACCCTTCTATACAATAGACCAGACATGGGCAAATGCTAATCTGAGTACTGAATACCAAGTATCTCAAATATTGACCTTTTTTGAGTACGAAAGAATTCAATTACTACTTCAGTTGATGTCAAACGAGGAACTGAAGTAGTGATTGAATTCTCAATAGTGATTTGATTGGAGTTAAATGCTTGGTATTCGGTACTCAAAGTAGCATTTGCCCATCTCTGCAATAGATACAGTCCACAAAAATTCAAAAACAAAGGAATCAAATTAGTAGGAAAAGTATTGTGACAATATCCCTGATAAAATCGTATACTGCTCCTAAATGAATTGTAATATTGATATACTATGTTTATTTTATTCGTTATAATTATAATACCCTTTTTTATTTTATTTAGGATTCTCATATTTGTTGATAAACAACAAGTATTCATTATTTTTAATAAATTATTAACTAAAGGGTAGTCAACATGAAGAATTCTCATTTTGTAAACAAACAGTGGTTTTCGACTTTTCTCAATTTTAATCCTATATTATTCTGTTTAACTTATGAAAGACATCATATTGAACCAGCAATATTATACTGAGAATATGCGGTCAAGGGGCACCGGCGGATCTATGCGGGGGAGGGGGGGGGTCTTTCCCCTTATATAGCCTCCCCAAAACGGTAAAATATAACCATGGTTTATAGAAAAAAAATATTAAAAACTATCTCTTAAAGTATTATTGTTCGTGTAATTACATTTAATAGGATTTCAAGGATTACTTCAACACCATTTCATTTAGATAATTCATTTCTTTCTTTTTTTTTCAAATTAATTATTGTTGTATGTATGAAAAAAAAAATTTGGGCTGACGCCCCCCTCAAAATTAAAGCCTGGATCTACTTGTGGTCAAGGGCACCGGCAAGTGGATATCGCCTGAGCAGTTGGTGACTCCCAGATTGTGGTCTCCCAAACTTAAAGCAGATTTAGAAAAACCGGAAGTACAAATAGGAGATCTGTTAGTGGATCTCAGCGCATCAAGGAACCAAGGGATGAAAGAAATATTGGTATTACTACAAGAAGTAAGCCATTTCAGAGTGCCCGACAAAGGTAGAAAGTGGATTTCAACTCACGATAGTAAGAGGATTTCCACGAGCAGGCCAGGAGAAAGAGGATCGAAAGGGGAGGAAGCTAAACAGCAGGGCAAGTTGCGCAACCAGCTGGAGACTAAGGTGCGGTCCCGTCAGTAAGGCGCACATCCGTACAACCGTTAAAATGGAATTAAAATAAAATAAAGAGTCTGATTGGCAGCAGTAGCGGTATGTATTCCCAACCCACCAAAAAAAAAAAAGTGCCCGACAAAGCCTAATGAATCGTTTGTTGGAACTGTATAATATCTTATGCCTCTTTAAGATGACCTGAAGCAACAGTGCGTCGCCATCAAACATCGCAGATAGTACAACTACGCCTAGATGAGAATACAAATTGGAATGCTATTATTTTTACAGATAATTCGCGTTTCTGTATTTATAGTGTTCGTAGGCGCCGAAGAGTCTACCGAGAACAGGGGATGGATACAAATTCAGCAACTGAGAGCAGTATTAACCATGTTTATGGTATGAAATTACTTGTGAAATCAAGGAAAACATTATAAATAGTATGCTCAATAGGTGCAGAGAGTTAGTGCGTAAAATGGGATATTACACAAATTATTAAATTTCACAAAATATTTACAATTCGCAATCATAAGAATAAGATCACATAAATTTTTAAAACACCTTTCATAAAATTTCTTGAGGTTGAATATAATCTTATTTATATTAATTTTCAATGTATTTTATGATGAAGATTCTAGAGAAAATAAATCTTACATAACTAACAATATCCCTATTCATTTTTGAGCAGTATATATAGTAGGGATTGCAACAATAAATTAAGCAGAAGTCAAAAAGAAAAAAAGTTTAATTGTAATTACATTTTCCTGAATACTGAGGCTGAATTGTTTGAAAAATTATTTTAAGCTGTACCAAATAAAATCTCTTCCATGAAGCTAGTTAAGACTTATATAATTCGTAGTAATAACTCAGGGACTTACCTCCGGCTGTAAAGAAATGATACGGTTATGATTCAAACTTTATGAAGCCAGAGTACAGAGTGCTTTGTTATGATTTAAGTCGTCATAATAGTAACAGAAGATTTACTACCTTTAGATTTAACGCTACTATCCTTTACTTCATTCCTCTCTTGGATTGAATTAAATTGAGAGAAAGTAAATTTTCGATTGCCCGGGCAGATCTTTTTAGGAATTGGTTAACTCGCCGGATACCAAAACTGGGAGAGAAAGATTTCTGCTTATATTGCTTCCAAACAACATTGGTATCATCCACGGGCGGATCTACGGGGGAGGCTTTCAGGCTGAAGCCTCCCCAAAATGGTAAAATATAACCATATTTCATAGAAAACAAATTTTAAAAATATCTCTTAAAGTGTTATTGTTCGTGTAATTACATTTAAAAGAACTTAAGGAATCACTTAAACATCATTTCATAGGTACTTAGTTTCTTTCTGTTCTATCCAAAGTAATTATCGTTATTTCTATGAAAAAGAAAAAGGTTTCGGGCTGACGCCCCCCCGAAAATTAACTCCTGTATCCGCTAGCGGTATCGTGTACGTCTTTATTGATTATTTTAGGCTCCGGCTCCGACCGTTGTACATATTATATTCGAAGTTATTTTTTATTGATTATTCATAATAATAAGGCATAGAGAACCCGAAGATTGGGTACCGATATCACCAATCGATCTCCACATTCTTCCATCCACAGAGATCTATCCAAACCCAACTCTAACCCCGCCAAATCAGGCTTGACGCAATCTCCCCACCTTCGCTTTGGTCTACCCCTCGGGCGCTTGCCTGGCGATACAGGGCATATTATCTTTTTAGGGCTTATTTTGTTATTAAGCGCAGCGATTTTACATGCCCATTTCATTCGCCTCAACTTAATCATCTCAATTATATTAACCGGATACAGTTCACGGAATTCAGCGTTGTATAACTGTCTAAATTCTCCGGTTAATTCGTCCTTTTTTTGTCCGAATATTATGCGCAATACTTTATTTTCAAAACTATTAATACGTTGCTCATCCATTGATTCATTGATTATTCATTCATTTAATATTTTATTAATTATTCAGAAATAAAATATAAACAATGAAAAATATTAAAATAAAACTCCAATACGACTCAAGGAACGAATTAAGAAAATTAAGATCCCGATCTAAATTATAAAGAAGTCGATTCTTTAAGTCGATGGGGATTCTGTGAATTCCCAATTGAAAAGAACTTTAAAAGCAAAGAACAAAAGAAAAAATAAATATTAAAGTTTATATAATAAGAGAAGCTTGTATAGAAATAACCTTTTATTTCGTTCTGAGAAATAAATACTAAAGCAGAGTTTTTTTCTTGTTGTTACTTGGATTATTTGATATGTATAGTTTGAGGATCAAATATGAAATCATTCCCAACACCGGATTGGTAGTAAACTGAGATAAGTCTAGAAACCGATGGAATGGGAGGTGACGTCATTGCTAGGGTTAACGTGGGCCGGGGAAAAGCTGTTTTATCGTGGCCCTTTAACTGCTAATAAGATCTTTTATTTCCTTTTGCAATTTAAGTGCTAATAATAAAATTTAGCCTCCACCTGAGCCAGCGCTATTCCACAATTAGTCTTGATAGAAAACGACGTTTACGACTCTCAGATTCTCGATATATTTTGGTTAGGATTATGCTAGGTATTTTCGAGGATTCAATTACACTAAACACAAAATAATTTCAATATATTATATATCCTGTTAAAAGAAAAAAAAGCAGTTATAAAAACAGGCATGCCTTTATCTGACGTTTTAATTTTTTTAATATTGTTTTTTTAAATTTTTTTATTTATAAATAATACATTTTGCCACATTTAAGGGCACTGAGTACTAAAGCTGAGTGAGGCCCATTCATATTATATATACAATACAATAAAAAAATAAAAAATAAATAAATAAAAAATAAAAATATATATCTATATAACAAAGGTAAAAACTATAAAACCAATGAAATGTAACTTGAAATCAAATTAAAAAAAAAAGTACAGAAATTGGTAGCAAATTAAATAAGTCATAAGTAAAACAAATAAATATATAAAAAGAAAAACATTCATACTTAATTACAGTTTTAATTATTATGCGACTCATTGAATTGATCAGGTGTGTTGAAGGACACACGATTGAAAGACAAACTTTGTCTATTTAATTAGGTATTAAAAACTCGTAAATACCCATTTCCTTTCAACTTGGATCGTAACATAATTTGATCACACGATCGATAAAAATGGTGGGTTACAAAAATATTGGACCGTTTGTCCTATATAATCTCATTATTTTGAAAATTTGGAGGTGGTCACGCCAAACGGCTCAATATTTTTGAAGGCCAATTTTTTTTATCACTTTGTTATCAAATTATCTTACGATCCAAGTTGAAAGCAAATCGATATTTACGATTTTTTAGTACCTAATTAAATAGATAGATTTTGCCCCCCTCCAAATTGAAAACGCCCCAATTCCAAGTGTTTTCGTAAATAAAATAGTTATAGGTTACGATGAGATGAAACTATTTACGTTTACTATTACGTTAATGTTTCAGGCGTATGTTAATAATTCAATAAAAAGGTGTCAGTACCACGGACTGAATTATACTGTGCCGCCTTAGGATTGGGCACTGCCAATTCACTCATAGCTACCTTTTAAGTGGTCTAGAAAAATGCAATAACACACCTCAAACTGTGAAACACCTTCTGGTAGAATGTCACCGATTCGTAAGTTACAGAAACAAGAAATAGATCAAGGAAAAGCAATAAGGGATAATCTACAAGCTAATGTAGACCGAGTCTCTATCTCATTTAAATTTTTAAAGATTATAAATTACTATAAAGGAATACAAATTATAGAAAACGCCAATGACTCTTTTGGATAGAGGTGCGAAAAAAACCTGATAATCCCTCATATTATATTAGGGTATCCAGGATTATGTATTTATATCCTGAAGAGACGCTGTTATTGGTATCACATAATTCTTACAACAAAATAAATCTACTAGTTATAAAGTAGTTATGTAATACCTATACGATGCAGTCGGTCAAGTAATAATAAAATTATGCTATTCCATGTAATTAAAAAGTTTTTAGCCAAAGAGGCCAGCAATTGAATTAAGACTCCTTGAGTCGACCCCTTTCTATACCCGGCTGAGTATAAAACAAGTTTACTTCCTCTTGGCCAAATTCAATTTCAGGAAGGTGTCCCCTTTTGTGTTTATTGAAGTCGAATTTCTTTTTACCTACTCATTAGTTTTTTTTTTTAATTATATAAAACTACCTATTCTAAGATTTTAATACGTGGAAATAACAATCGGCTTTATAGTTCTACACAAAAAAAAATAAATCAAGTATTACCTTATTTATTAGTCCGTGGTTACAGACCCCGTTTTATCGAGTTATTAACATCCACCTGAAACTTCGTAAATAGTTTCATATTATCATAACTTACAACTATTTTATTTATGAAAACTCTTGCAATTGGGGCATTTTCAATCTGGAGGGGGACAAACTTCTTCTATTTAATTAGGTGCTAAAAACTCCTAAATACCCATTTCCTTTCAACTTGGATCGTAATATAATTTGATCACAAGATTGATAAAAATGGTGGGCTACAAAAATATTTGGCCGTTTGCCCTATATAACATCATTATTTTGAAAATTTGGGGGTGAAGGTCAAGCCAAACGGCTCAATATTTTTTAAGGCCAATTTTTTTTTCATTTTGTAATCAAATTATCGTATGATTTAAGTAGAAAGCAAATGAGTAGTTACGAGTTTTTAGTATTTAATAGACAAAGTTTGCCCCACTACAGATTGAAAACCCCCCAATTCCAAGAGTTTTTGTTAATAAAATAGTTGTAGGATACGATGAGATGTAGCTATTTATGAAGTTTCAGGCGAATGTTAATAATTCGATAAAAAGGAGTCTGTACCGTGGACTGTACATAAAATGTAATACTTTTTTTTTTTTTGTCTTATATTCTTCATCCATCCAAAATCATCTTTATATATTCAAAATGTAATATAAATTGTCTTTATGTGCTAGTTGAAAATCATCAGTGATAAATATTTCCTCACTTTAAAAAGCCATTATTACTATCTTAATAAAAATAAAATTATGTCCAGTAGGATCAGTACAACTTCTTTCCCATTGACATATATTGGTCACACAATTGCATAGATTTCTTAGCCTTTTGGAAATAAAGTCGACGTTTTCAAAGTATTTTCTTGTCAAGGAAAACGCACGACTAGGAAGATAAAGTTGACGTAATTTAATAAAATATGTATTGGATTATCTAGGTAACAACTCTAACAATCTGTTAAAATATTATTACCACTACTATTGATGATATGTTACTAACTAATATGAGGTTAACTCTAAAAGGTGATATATCCGTCACAACGATATGCATACAGACAAATATGGAACCAAATTCGTTCCTTAATATTTAAAACGTTAACGCTAGTCGAAGTTTTCTATTCTGAATACACAAATGTTCTACGAATACATAGCTTCCCTACCTTCGGTAGTGAGGATGTTTATGTAACGAAGGTTGATAAATCGGAAAAATATAACAAAAAAAGTTATAAATACTTAAAACTTTATATCCACGAAAAAAAATTTTTTTTTAAACGGATTATTTATATTTACAATCTTCACATCTTCGAACTAACAGGTTCACATTTTACCAAAAATTGTTGAGTGGTTTTACAGAAATATTTTTTTTTTAGAAACAGTCGATATTTTTTAATAAAACTTTTTGGAATAATAAAATTTACAATGGAAGTGAAATTTGAGAAAACCCAACACGATTAGGATGGTGATCACAAGATTATCAAAAAACCATTAAAAATGTATTTCGAACGTTCGGTCCTTTATGTGGACCCAACTCATGGCAGCAAAGACGATGACGTTATAAAAATAAAACTATGTAACGTATTTTCTTCTTTTGTTAGGAAGTTGTTGGTAGATTGAATTCAGAGATTGAAAATAAAAACTTCCTTAAATACAAACAAATGTTGTATTTGTCACATATTAATTATTTGTTGACGTTTCGGGATCTTTTTATCCATCTTCAGAACTCCCGCTGTAATTCACTTATATAAATTTCTAAATTAAAAGGATCATTAAAAAATAACTGTTGTTATTCTATAAAATAATATAATAAATTATTATAAAATAATAATGTTATAAAATAACTGTTGTTATATTACTTGATTAAGCCCTTAGTGACCAAGTATTAATCAAGTGATGTAGTGGCTTGGGATAACACATTTGATAAAATGTATTAATTAAGACAAAAATGGATAAATATTATAGCCAAAAAAAATGTTCACAACTTTTTAATATCAAGCATTATAACAACAGTTGTTTTTTAATAATTCTTTTATTTCATAAATTGATATAAGTGTATTGCAACGGGAGTTCTGAAGATAGGAAAAAGATCCCAAAGAGTCAACAAATAATTAATCGGTGACAAATACAACATTTGTTTGCATTTAGTTTTTATTTCCAACATCTGAAGAAAATTGTATAAGTATATAACGTGAAATTAATATAAATTTAGTATTAATAGTGATTATAGTAAATAAGTGTCATCTGATATAATATGTAGAATAAAAATAAAAGGAAACAATAATATTTTTAAAAAGAAAATGTATTGTACTTCTGTTTTGCTTATATCTTGCTTACATATTTATATATCGCATCTTGTTGTATATATATATTTATATATCTCATTGCATTGCATATTTATTGATATATTTCAGATTCGTATATCGTTTGTTTTTTTTAACCACAAGCTAGGATAAAATACGAAATGAAACTTCGATATTGATTTAATAGTTTTTCACTATTTTTGTTGTAAATCTTAATTGCTACTCTTTATTTATTTTTTATTATTACCACGGTCAACTACTCGCTATTTAGTTGTTATTATACTATAATCCTGTAACCTTAATTAATTTGAGAAAAAATACATTTTGAGGTGCCAATACATTTGATAAGGAATAAAAATAAGGAAAAGATGTTCCGGAAAAAGGGTCGAGTATATGGGATCAAATGAGCTGTCAGATCCAAACTGCTATAGACAGGAAAATGGTCACTACTGTCCTCCAAATATCTTCATCCTTTTCCTCTATTATTTCTGGTTTCCTTCTGTTGTGAAATGCTTTCTTCCTTATACCGAGAATATTAAATTTATAATTCTGATAAATTCCGACATTTTTTTTAAGTTGGCCAAAACTCTTATGCCAGAGAAATCCAGAAAAAGACTGAAAAGGGTTTGAATGAAGGATCGACTTTCATTATTTTGTACGAAAATAAAAGGTAAAAAAATAAAAGGAGTACCGCTGTAACTGTTTTTTTTTTTTTTTTTTTTTGTTTTTTTCTTCTGTATATCTAGCATCTTGTATATTTTTATTTCATTCATGATTTCAATTTATTTCTCATCCCACGATCATTCTAGCCCATCAATCTTTTTTATAATAAATGTTAATACTTTTATAGAGTTTTAGGAATTCCTTCAGTATTAATTTCCTTTCATCTTTTTTTTTTTTTGTTATGTCGAAAAAATTGTTTATCAAGTTGGTACTAGTTTTTTTTCCATCAATGTTAATAAATTTATATTTTTTTGTGATAAGCAATAGATAAATATTTAATTATTGCTTCAAAAGCTACTATAAATTTATGGTCCCAATTCATTGTTAATTATCTTCCCTTTGTTTTCAAAGATAAAAAAAAGATATCGGATATATCGTTACTTTTTTCGATATTGACATCTCTAAAATAAAAAATACGGAAATATTTATCGTTGCATTTATACTATCGCTACGATACAAACTCATATGTTTAATTTTTTCTTTCGAAATTCACATTATATACTTTACATACACACACACACACACACACACACACATATATATATATATTTTATATGTAGTTTATTTTATACTCCTCACTGGAAATATCTGAAGGCGCTGCGGTTAGAACGGGCCCGCAATGCAATAAAGTATTGCGGGTTTGCCATCGTAATGAGATCCTTAATACAATAATTGATTCATTTATCTCAATAGTGTATACATATATAAAATATAATTTATATGAAATTTATTGTAATAAAATATAATTTAATGTCACAAATCATGTAAGTGAGACGCACATTTCCAAAGTGAATCAAAAACGATTTTTTTTTTTTTTTTTTTGTAAATCGAGATACGTGTCGATTTATATGAAAAATACTTCCAATGAATTCAATCGTGGATTTTTTGTTTTCAAAAACTAACTAAAAAATATTTTAAAATATAGAATGAAAAGAAATTTGTTTCCAAAAACAGCTTTTTTTTATTAGTGTAATTAACTTGCATGTCTTAAGTATTTTTAAACTAATAATTCAAAATCAAAATTTAAAATAAATTTATTTTATTGGAGTGCTACCAATGGGTAGTTTCTCAACTAGTATTTTCATGTCATTATATCCATTTTTACAAATTTCCTAGATGTATTTTTTTTTAATACAGTTGTAAACATCATGAATTAATAAATGAATAATTTTATTTTACTATTATTTTATATAAAAAGTTAAATTTTAGTATAGTATGATTTTAATTATTTTTTTCTTCTTGAATCATCAACAATTTTTTTTCTTCTAACCTTACCCTAATCAACGATTCCTTTATTTATTTATTTTTTTTTTTTATCTGAAACGAACATTAAGGATTAATTCGTTCTTTAAACGACCCTATTTAGGTTTTAACGTTTTTTAATTTCTATTAAAATAAAGAACTTCTTAATTTATTATTTCAAAAAGTTGGAGGAACAAGCCTGGATTGGAGTTCTCTGCTTGATTGTAAATATTGTATATAGGTATGACTGTGTTTTTAATTTACTTATCTTTAAGTTATTTTATTTTGTATAGCATATAGTTTTTTATTACTATTTAGTTATTATTTTACTTTTTTTAATTTTATGTTTTCTGTATATATGGTGTAAATGTGTTCATATCTCACTATAATTATTGACCTTGTGCACTAGCGGATCCAGGATTTAATTTTTTTTGGGGGGGGGAGGTTCCTGCCAGAAAGATTTTTTCTTTCAAATTTATATCGATAACTAATTTGAAAAAATAAATAAATTAACTAACTATATGAAATGGTGTTTAAGTGATTCTTGAAGTCCTATCAAATGTAATTACACGAACAATAATACTTTAAGACAATAATACTTTAAAGTTTTTGATCTTTTTTTCTATAAAACATTGTTATATTTTTCTGTTTTGAGGGAGGCTTCAGCCCGAAAGCCCTCAACCCCCCTCCCCCCCTGCCGTAGATCAGCCGGTGACCTTGTGACAGATTATTATATTTCTGAATAAATAAATAAATATTATTTAAAAAAATATCGATTTTGGTATTACGATTGGAATAGAAATATAGTTTTCCACGTTTCCTGAAAATTAGTCATTGATGATTAGGAATCACTTTCGATTCAATTTGGATATAAACTAAGCAATTATATCATACTTATCAATAATATAAATAATGGCAATAGAGAATAATGGATTTTTGACTTTTAAGGTGCTGATGATAGCCCGTTACCATAGACACAGGATCGCCCGGGCCATCTTCGAAGTCACCCTGTCAGCTCAGGTGACCATCACCCACCAGAAGAACCCGTTCGTAGTGTCCAGCGGATCAGGCCGGGGAAGGAGTCCGACGGCGACGGTGCTACAGCTAGTTGGGTCAGTCATCATTCTGTATTCGCCCTACTACTGCATCATCCTCTGGCAGGGCTTAGGCAGGAAGCCTTCACCAGGGTATATTCCTTTATTTTTTTACTATAATTTTAAGATGTTATAGTTTATTATACTTTGCAATAATTATATATTATACCGTAAACCGGAGTTACTTTGGGACTAGGGGATGAATATGAACGACAGTTTTTTTTGAATATGAAATTATCTGGTGGGCTAAAAGATTTTCGAATTCAGAAAACTTTCTTTTTGGGGAGAGGGTGACCGAGCGACCTGATAACCGAAATTTAAGACATTAAAATAATTGTGAGTTCGCGCTTCGGTGCTGAGGGGGACTTTTAACTCAGGTATTAATCTCCCATCCTCATCCCCTGATCTAGGAAAATCCCTATATAACCTAAAAGGTGATTGAGGGGAGAACAAAAAAGACAACTTTCCTTTAGTCTTGATATAATAATGTTTTAGACCACCAGGTGATTTTAAATTCTAAATAAACTCTATTGCACAGTCACCTCCTACTCCCAAAGCAACCTCGGTTCACGGTAATTTAATTTTATAATTTCAAGCAAAATGTTCGGTACTTTTATTTTAACTATCGTCCTTTGCAAACACATTTTCGTCCTCTGTGTAGCTTTCTAAGATAATTCAGATAATTTTCTAGAGATTTGTTTACTCCTTAAGCCCATTGGAATGAACAGTCCACGGACATGGGACGTTGAATCATCTAAAAAATTGGTAACCTACTGAATGTGACCTCCCATTTGTGTCCACAGTGAATAGTTGGACTAAAAATGTTACATCCAGATGTTACCCATAACATTTTATTTCGAAAAATGTTAATTTTTTTTTTTTTTATATTTGTTTATTTAGAAATATTACATTCTGTCACATCAAGGACATTTATAATAGTGATCAGAGAAAGCACACTCACACTCTATTTACAATAAAAAAAAAATAAATAATACAGAAACTTAATAATAATAAATACAAAAAAATAAAATAAAAATAAATACAATAAAATAAAATAAATGTATATAAACAAAAGAACTAACCTAATCATACACACTCGGGCTTGAGTGGAGGATCTGGCCATTGCCAAAACTCCAATAGATGCTTATTTACAAAAGGTCTCTGGGCCACTGCCGCTTCAACCTTCGAGGAGGATTGTAAGGATGGGTGGTGCTGGATAGAGATTGTGCAAGGGGATTTGGATGATAGGTAAGGTTCTGGTGAAATTTGGAGAATTTTTCTGGAATAAGGTCTAGAACAAATGGGATATTAAGGTCATGGTGTAGGATTTTGTTATTTACATAGAACGGAGCATCAACTATTGTTCGAAGGACTTTAGATTGAAAGGATTGAATACGTTTGATGTTAGAAGCTTTTGCTGTCCCCCACAGTTCAAGTCCGTATGTCCATATAGGTTTCAGTATTGTCTTGTAGATAAGTAATTTGTTTTCAATAGAAAGTTTGGATTTTCTGTTTAGTAGTCTGTATAGCTGGCCGTATCGTCGGTTGAGTTCTTGTCTTTTGAGTCTAGTATGTGGGTTCCACGTTAGTCTTCGGTCTAAATGAAAGCCAAGATACCGGACTGTGTCTGAGTAAGGAAGCTGGATGGAATTAAAGTGTACTGGTGGACAGGAACTGCGTCGGAGTGTAAAGGTAATATGTTGGCATTTAGATTCATTAACTTTAATGCGCCAGTTATTACACCAGTGCTCAATCAAGGTGAGGTGGTTTTGGAGATTTAAGGATGCTATGTTGGGATCAGAGTTGGATGATAAGATTGCGGTGTCGTCAGCGAATGTTGCAAGAAAAGTATCGGGATGAACAGGGATGTCAGCAGTAAAGAGGATGTAAAGCACGGGACCCAAGACGCTGCCTTGGGGAACACCGGCTTTAACGGAGTAGATATTGGAAAATTCTGTTCCACAGCGAACTCGGAAGGAGCGGTCAGAGAGGTAGGATCGGAGGACTAGGTACAAGGACTGAGGTAAATGGATTTTAAGCTTGAAGAGCAGTCCGGAGTGCCATACCCGGTCAAATGCCTGTGCAATGTCCAGAAATGCACCCGAACAGTATTCCTTGTTTTCTAGGGCTGAGGAAATATGATCAACAACTCGGAGTCCTTGTTGAACAGTAGAATGTTGGGAGCGAAAACCAAACTGATGGGAAGGAATATTTTGGGATTCTATAATGGGTAGGATTCGTTTCAAAAGGATCTTTTCAAAAATTTTTGAAAGGATTGGGAGTAGGCTGATTGGTCTATAGGATGTTGAGCTATTGAGAGGTTTTCCTGGTTTTGGGAAGAGGATAATAGTGGAGTGTTTCCATAACAGAGGGAAGTGGGTGGTGCGTAGGATACAATTGTAGATATATGTAAGGAATATGACTGCTTTGGATGGAAGTTGTCGAAGGATTTGAGGTGTAAGGAGATCATGTCCAGGAGCTTTACGGAGGATTAGTTTTTTTAATTGAAATTTTACTTCGGAAGGATGAATAGCTTTTGGGGGCAAGGAAAGTGGGATTGGTGATGTAAGGAGTTCTTCTACTGTTACGGTGTGGGCAGGATGGGATTCCGGATGTGAAATAAATGTATTGGATAGGTGAATGGCGAACTCCTCAGCTTTATCTTCGTCAGATGCAGCCCAGGAGCCATCACCTCGTCGGAGAGGATGGGAAATGCGGTGAGGATTTAGGATTTTTGTTGTGGTTTTCCAAAGGGAATTGTCGCGAGAAGAGAGGGAGGATAGATAGGAGTTGAAGGATTGTGATCTGAAGGTGGCTAATTCCAGTTTTAATTGTTTGCAGTAGTAATTATAGGAGCAGCGGTCGGTAGGATGTCGGGTACGTTGCCATAATAATCTGGCACGGCGTTTGGTGCGGATTAGGTTAAGGATGTGTTGGGGTAGAATGGTCTTTATAGGAATTCTGGAGGAGTCTTTTGGGAAGGAGGCAGTCCAGGCGGCTTGTTGGATTGTGGTAGTAAAGGAATTTACGGCACTATCAAGGTCATCGGGAGTTTTGAGGGATATGTTGAGATCAATATTATCGGAGATTATTTGGCGGAAAAGGTCCCAGTTTACTGGGCCCCTAATGAATGACGGTGGAGATGTTAATTACATTTCTATTGTTGACATCTTGATTCCCTATTTTTTACAACAGTCAGTAGTCAAATGTTATTACAATTTTTGACAAACTGAAAATGCTAAGTGAAATCAGATGTTGCTAGAAAAGATTATTAAACATTTTTTTAGTACAAATCTTTTAAAAGTGTATAAAATTAAAAAATAATCTTAAATATATTAAAAATGTATTTTGCAAACAAATCATTAGTAGGATACTAGTAACTCATGTTATTTACAATGCCTTAAATGGTTTAAACCTTCCTTTTGTACGTTTCAGTGATAACTGTATGTGTTGATTAGAAAAAATAAATGCTAACTTTTATAAAATCATTCTATAATATTAGCATTAATGACTTCTAATATATATTCAATACTGATTTTTTCTTTCTTTTTTTTCTGGACTTTTAGGTTACTAGCAATCGCAACTAGTCTACTTGCTTGTGCACCTACACTGAACGGCCTTTTGTATGGCCTGAAGAACAAACTTCTAAGGCGAGCGTTTAGACATTATTGGAGAAAGAAAATGACAAAAAATGAACTTGAGCAAGAGATTCAAGCCAGAACCCCATCACGGAGACCTTCCCTCACTCCCCAAAAAGTACACCTTCAAGTATATTATATTTTAGAAAAGCTTCTTAAATGTTTTGTAGATATCAATTGAGTCTTATTGATCGCTATCCTTTATTTAAAGACTTTCATACTTCAATAAAACTTTACAATAAAGATAAAATAGACAATATTGTGGTACACTGAAAAATTATATTGTTTCTATTCAGAATCCATAAATGGTTAAAAAGCCATTTTCTTTTTATTGTTTGTTATCTTACTGCCCTATCAAAATTTTAAATTAAACAATATCCTATAAATAACACTGAAAATTAAATTAAAAAATAAATTAAATTATAAATTAAAATTAAAAAATTAAAAGAAAACCTTTTACGAAATCGCATATTTCATTTTTAAGTAAATAAGGTTTAAATCTTAGAAATTGATTTAATGTTACATACAATTACAATATCCTCAGATTAGGGTTGAAATCGATCCACTAATATTTTTCTGAAGACAAAGATTTTAACAATGTACATGTAGCTTAATATATGTGCTAGTGGACGGTGCTGAGACTGTCGGTGTGTCCCTTGCCTGATTGAAGTTCTATTTTTTAAAATTCTAGCTTTGAAGAGGATCCCATGGTTGACTAATAAAAAGAAAATACCGGGATCGAAATGTCAATAAACAGAAGAAATGAACATTCAATAGTTTATTAAATAATAATTAAATTACCTTATTTCCCAATTAAATAGTTAAGTTTAAATATATATATATATATATATACAATTTTGCAATTGTGAAACATTCAATAATTATTAGTTAATACTGAAGCATATATTTTGTTCAATCATTGGTAGACATCAAGAAACTTCACAAAGGTGACCCTCCATCACTTTTACCTCTAACCCAATGATATCATTCCATTTGTTATCATAAGTATTATAGGTATGGAATAACTGTATCACCAAACTATGTTATAATCCTATAATTACATATTTGTTGGTTTTTAAGTCTTGCAGGGTATTTTAACTTCCTTATTATTTTTGTTTTCTAATTCAATTCATATTCATGTGTATTATTGAAGTTGAATGAATGAATGAATGATATATCCTTTACTTATGCAAAAGTTAATAAATAATACGTTTAAATAAGTATATTCTTTAAGTGTGAAAAGAATTTAATAAATTGATTATTTTTCTTCTTTTTTGGAGGGAGGGGAAGTTTGGTTTTTCCTTCTTCCTTCCTTGCATAGGCCTTCCCATACGGGAGTAATAGTCAGCATATCCCGGGGTGACTAGCCCTATTGGAATACGAGTTCCGTCCACTTCTCCTTCCAGACATCTCTGTCTCTAGCAGCTCTCCACCAAAGGGGCCCTGCCAACAGCTTAAACATGTCACTCCACCTTCTTTTTTTTTTATCATATGGAGTCGAGTATGTAAACATTCTTAACCATCTATTATCTTAGCTTCAATGGAGATGTCCAGCCCATTTCCACTTGCTCACTTTTGTCAGCCTAAGAGTATCTGTTAGTCCTATTTCTTTTTTTATCCTGTCATTTCTCCTTTTTCCTCACATTAATATTACATCTTTCTATGTCATTCTGCCACACCTGAATCTTCCTCTCTAGAGCTTTTGCCAACTTGGCATCCATAAGTAACCACTGCAATTATACAACTGTCGAAAACCTGTCTTTTTAGGTCAATACTTATATTTCTTTTCATGATATGCATGAGAGATCAAAACTTGTTCCAGTCGAGTTATTGAAGTTAACATTTTTTAAATAAATATTTTGAAGGGTTACTATTTTAAAACCATGGAAAAATATAGAATAATCCTATGGAATATCCTATCCTTTTACATTGAAAATTAAATTTTATGTCAGTCTGTAACTTCTATGAAGCTAAGAACATTTCATAACAACAGATCCATTTGATTTGAACTTTTTAATTATCTACATAAATGACCATCCATCATAATTTATATTTATACTTCTCTTACACTGATCAGCTTAATATTGGGCTGAGCTGGTAGATTATCACATCAAGGTCAATTCAAATGACCACTTCAATTCGCTAATAATTTTTTATAAAACTTTTTTCTGAAAATGACTTATATTCAAGATAGTTTATCACTGTCACTCTTTGAGTAGAACATGCAAGATGAAGTATTAGAACAAGTTTCAAATTAAATGGATTTTTTTTTTTTTCGTATAACAATTAAGTGATCATAACTAAGAGCAGTAGGTAGTTAAAATAAAAAAATATGTTCTAAAAGAAACATAATAATTTATTTTATACATGATAGTCTTTTCTTCACCCCATTTCTGATTTTTTTCATTTCATCTCATTAAAACTACCACAAAATTCAGATTTTATCGTACTTATTTCAGAAAGTAGTTCGTATAGATCTTATTGGTTCTAACAACATTTATGTGCTGAATCTGTTGCTTGAACTAATTTGTCTCCAGATTCTATTCTGTGGGAGTTCAGATGACAACAAAATCCTTCCTCTTTTTTTTTAAATATAATGAAAAGTTCTTTTTTTCTACCTTAGTATTTTTAAATCTTAGGTTTTCATTAAGTGAGTATTCAAGGAGTCAGCTTCCCTCATGACTGTTTCTTGTCCGATGAATATAGAGCAGTTATCTGGTGATTCACAATGGGTTATCACTCTACTTTCATTCTTATTCTTATATATTTTACAAAATTTCAGAGCTATAGTAGCTAATAACATTTCCTTTTAGGATGGTTTGAAATCCATTTTAGCTCAAAGTAATAAAAAAATTAATTGTTTTTGTAAAATGCAGTTAATAACATTTTCCTGTTTTTCTAGTGGAAAAAAAACACATGATAACTTTTCACAGAAACATAAGTTGCTTTTGATCATTTTTCCTGTGAATATGTATCATTTAAATTCATCATGCGCTCGGCAGTGAAAGTATTAGATTATTTACTTCATGATCCAGGTTTGGACCTCACCATAAAAGAAACTTTATTTTATATTCTATGCGGTCTAGATTGACTTGGAGCCTATAAGACTCTTTTTAGGCTTTATAAATAATTTCTAATACTTTATTAGTACTATTTTAAAATTTTAATTTGGCTTATTTCTGAAAGAGTATGGTATAACTTTATAATCGACTTTAATGGGTGTACCTGGTTTTATAAGATGCTTCTCTTCAAATGTCTAAAAATAAATGAAAATAAAGCCACACATTAAGTAAATACTTACTTTAACAAAAGTATTTTAGAATGGCTTCTGCTTTTCTTGCATGATTTAAAATTCTGAGAGGTAATCTTCAAAACAGCTTTTCTAGTATAACATTTAGCTCAATAAGCTTGCTTGGTTAATTATTTTTAGTAATCTGGGGACTTTGGTGATACTTAAATGTTAAACTAAGTGATAGTTTCTGAATTGTTTTTAGAAATTGTTTATTGAAAGTTAAATTAATTAACTTTTTGATGCACCATTAGGTTCGGCTAATTAACAACAACAGAGAAAAAATTTTGGGCTGTTAATTTTTATTATCATATCAGTTATAATATTAAAACTGCATCCAGCTTCTCTTTTACCATCATTTTAACTAAATATAATTCTCTCCTGTTTGTTTTAACTGACTATGGATTAAGACTAGTAAGAGAAATATTTATTGACTTGTTCAATCCTAGGTTGATGTATGATAGCACAATGGAACGAGAATTAACTCCAAGGAAAAGGAAAGTTTTATGACATTGTTGACTATTTTATTACTGCTTCATACAATCTTAAGGTGAATTATTAATTATGTATTTCCGTTACTATTGCATGGTGCATATAACATGGAAATCAGTGTTGAAAACCGAAACAAAAATTTCAGCTTGGCTTAGAATGTACTAAGAATGAAGTTTTTTTTTATCTCGTAACATTTCAAAGCTTAAATTTAGGAAATAAAAGCTCTTATTTAACATATTTATTTTTTAAATTTTCATTAAACTTTTATATTGCTTTGAAGATAAATAAACTTATGCTGAAAAACTTTCTTTCTACATAGACACAGAGGCTGTTGCATGAGAAAAATTTGAGTATAAAAATTAACAATGTAAATGTGCTTTCCACAAATGCATTTATTTGTCAATGTACTAGGAAGCCATACAACTTTATTTTGTCTTTGTTTTTAAATGTTTTTATAAACTTCTTTCTTGTTTAATAGTTTTATTTTTATCCTTTGTAACACATTCATGTCATCATACTATGGTGTATATATTTTTCATAAAATGTTTGCACTTTCTTTTTATTCTCTCTGCACTATGATACTTATTATCATTGTTCATATTTGACTGTCTTCTAAAATTTTAAGTAATGTGCAAAGATGTGTATACATACAAAATTTTATTAAATAATGCGATTGGTTCAATGGTTATACATATATGGAAATTTATTGATATTTTTGGTTGTCTTTTTATTTAGATTTTTCACTCCAAATCCAATTTTTTTCAAATGAATTTCACTCATTTAGCAATCAAATTTCTTAGCATCTTGTGACAGATGTGAAAAGATGGTGGACTCTATTCTGTTGTTTCTGAATACAATTTTTTTTTTTTAAATTAAGAAGGACCCGATCCAAAATGAGGGAAAGATGTTGATAGGCTGTTGCAGTAGCAACATTGTGGTATCAGTACATTGTTGGTGTATTACCACTGAGCCTTCAGTCAGGTTCCCTAAACATATTTTATTCTGTAAGCCAATTATTGATACTTTTGCAAACATTTTCGTAATGGAATTTCAAATTATTAGAATTACTAGGTTTTACATTATTAAACACTGAATTCTTGTTTTATATTATTAAATAATTTTCACATTAATGCCAGTCATCACTTCAGTTAACTTAAACTTTTTTTAATTTACTTTATAAAGTTTTTTTAAATAGTCACTTGTAAAAATGTAAATATAAATTTTAAATGTTTGCACTTTACGGTCTAAACAATAGTATTTTAATTAATAATCCTTTTTTGTATTTGTGTAGTTAAAAACACACTTTATTTCCCAGGAGATGTAATTTCGACCTTAATTTAAATTAAAACATTTGAAAAAAGAATTATCTTGTAATTAATAACTTTTAATAAAAGGTTTTTCAAAGAGATATATTAGTTTACGCTTTGACAGTTATTTTTATTGTGAAATTTAAATGTGAAAACTAAATTTTTCATCAATTTAATTTTTGGATATTTTAAACAGAATTTCATCATTGAATATAAATTCTAAATCAAACCAATGCTAAAGAATTGCTTTCATGAAATAATTAAGAGAGAATCGTCATAAATTTTCTTTAATTTCATAAATAACTTTTGGGTCATGAAAGCTATTACATACATAAATAAAAACAAATATTAATCATAAAAGTTTAGAAAATACAAACATTATGAATGGTAAATGTAGCTTCATTAAATGAATTTTATGTAAACTGTATTTAGAGCTCATAACTTGTATTCATCTTACTTGTCCAAAGACATTTTTCTTTGGTTTATTTGTTTACTTGTCTTTATATGTTTATAAAATCTGTTAACTTAATAATTAATGCTTTATGTTAAGAGTATCATTTACATGTTATCCTTATTTCCCTTTTATCATACTTATTTTCAGAGGTTGATAATTGTAGATTCCAAAATGTATATATTTAGTGACTGAATAAGCATGTTTGTCCTCACGTTGTTAGTTATAGTTGAGAAATTTGTAAAGTTGTTAGGATAGCTCATGCTATGAATTAAATGTTGCTTGTTGAGTTTAAAATAAAATTCGTAAAGTTGATTGTTATAAGGCAAAAAAAAAATAAGTGTCTTTCAATTAACTTTATTTCACAATATTAAAAAAAAAAAATTATATTGAGGGCCTCAAATGATAACCTCGTAACTGTTTGTTTGATATTATTTATTTAATTTTTTTTCAAAATTGAATACAAACCATTAATCTTATAAAATGGTGAAAATTGATTTTTAAATTATTTATCGGATATTCATCAATTCTTAAGCCATCTAGCTTAGCTATTAGATAAGAGGATTTCATTCAGTTTGAAAATAATTAATAGATTAGTAACAAGGTTATGATGTGAGATGTGAGAACCAAACAATTACAGCTTATCGCCTGAAACAGCCCCAAAGACTAATGGTGGAAGTCAAAAGAGTCAAGAGGATTTTAAAAAAAAAAAATGTGGGACGTTTTATGATATTCTTTAGTCACAGCAACTAAGAATTGTTTAGTTTAACAACAGTACTAAATATAGAACTGCCTTTCTGTGCTTATAGTTTTCTCATAGATATAGGCATTGACTGTGTATGTGTACATACACATTCTTAAATTTTTCCGATGATTTTCATAAAAATAACAACAAATTTAATTTACAACTATGGTAGTTATAGATATTAATAAGTTACAATTTAAATTATTATTTTAAATTAAAATTCTTATCTGAGGTCTTATAGTTCACACAGTTACAATCATAGTTGATCACTTCTCATTATATGCTAAGTAAATTCACAGACCCTGCAAGCAGCTTGTTGACAAGATGAAACTTAATGCTGATAAGTTCAACTGACTGTCTTCATAAAAAGCTAACTTAGAACTAACACTGGACTCAATAAGGCAGCAGTTCACAGACTTTTTTTTTTTGTGGTAAAAAGAAACCTTGTCAGACAAAAAAATTATCGTAACACAGATTTTCTTAAAATTACAATGCAATAGAATCTTTACCAATATATATAAACTAAAGAAATTTTCCCAGGAAATAATCTTAGATTAGATTGTTTTTAATTTTAATTTTGCTATCAACATTTATAAATTTATATATATTTAAAATAACTATTCACCGAATTAACAATTTTGATCATAAATATTAAGTATTGAAATTAAGTATTATTGCCATGGCATCCCTTGAATTCGTTTGTGCGCTTTGCAGGGTGCTGTTATACCCAGTTTGAAAACCCCTGAACTAACTGATTCCGACTGACCATAAATTAATCTCTAACTGAAATCAACTCAACTAACTGGTCAATGAAAGCTTTTATTATACATAGCAATGTAAGATCTATTCAAGAATTTAAAAAATAATTTATAGATACAAACCAATTTATAGTTCGTATTGAAGATTTTAATAAAATTCAAAATTATAAGTTCAATATTAGTTTTAAGAGTAATTTAAATTACTTTAAATGGGCATAAAATGTTACCATTTTTTTTTTTTTCAAAATTTTCAAATTCTCAATTACCTGCCCCAACCAAGAGAGTCCTGCAATACATATTGCCCAAATATTAAACCATCCCCATACATTTCAAAGCAAAAATGAAAACTGAAGAACTTAATCCCTGATAAAACACATATTTAAATATAAAAAATAACATGAATCAAAATAACTGTGTGAGGGAAATAAAATTGCAAATTATGAAACACTAACAGCAGGAACTCACATTTACTAGAGAACATTAAAATTGAAAGAAAATGCCAATCAGATTATCTTATTGACAGGAACCTCCTCCAGTTATTTAAACATGAAAATAAAAATATGAAGCTGGAAAATATTTTTCATAAACTGAGGGAAATGAATCAAATCTAAGGGTCAGAGAAATAAGGGATCCTAATTCTTTTTTTTTTTTTTCTCGGGACACGTGAGGGATATAGATTTTGACAATTTGAATTTAAATATAACCGTGGAAGTGAGTTTTTTCTAAAATAAAAATAATTGAACTTCAAACTGAAAGCGCCTAATTCCTGTCATACAAGATATTGGGCTCTTTTCTCCTTTAAACACTCCAGTGACTTTTTTTTCACTTTAGCGAATTCACAGTTCCTTAAACAGGTGACTAAAAAGTAAACCTGACCTAGAAAAGAATTAAATGTAACGTTATAAATATGAATTTGTTAAATTTGATCTAACGTGAATACAATATTTATTCATTTTAATAAAAGCATGCAATTTTTAATAGAACCAAAATTGTTTCAAAATAAGGATCTTTTATATCATTGATTTTTTATTTTTTTTTATTTTAGTGATTTCATAGTTATGAATAAGTTGCTTAAACATGTTATGAGATACATAACTGACATTACAGACATCTGTTTTATTAAACCAATTAATTAAAAATTCACTGGTGTGTTTAATTTAGAAAAAAGATTGTTTATAGAAACCATAATCTTCTCCTTGGGCCGTGAATTCATATCAATTAGTGGAATGACCCATACAAAAAAAAGTCTTTGGTACATTATAAAAACACTTAATTGAAAAACTCCTTCTTCATTCTTGATTCTTTAAATACAAAATATATCCCTTTTTTTCACAAGTGTTACAGAACACTACTCTTGTTATTATTTTATTTATCGAGAAACAATTTCCAAATATTATTAAGAAGATTTATATTCTCTGGTGGTGAACAAACAAAAAACAAAAAAATTGTAGGTATTTGATATACCTGCTTATTGTGAAAACAATCATAATAAAAAAAATCATTCATTTTATGTAAATAGTCACATTCGCTTAGCTTTTGATATCTTCAGATTTTTCAATTATTTTTAAATTATGAACACCCATGTCCAAATACATGCATTGAAAAATTAAAAATGATTTTATTATAAAATTGTTTTATTCTATTCTATCTGCAGGTTTGGAGGCCTGTATCGACGAGTGCCCTTGGTACAAGCCCTGTTAGAGTGGGAAGCCTTCGACATTCAGCGACATCTACATCAATCCTGGCAGCTCGGGGTAAGCCTCGAATCACCATCACGTCTGATGATGGCCCAACCCCACCAGTGAGAATAAAGATTGGTGGTAGTTCATCGTCTGTTTCTGCTGATTCTGATCTTACCCAGGAGGAAAGGGAGTGGCGCTGGTTGGCAGCTTCTTCCTCCAGCCTACCGGCAACCTCAGCAACGTGAGTCAACTACAAAAATTTTCAAATACTTCAGGGACAAGTTTGTGTTTATATTCTAAATAGATTCACCAAGGAGCTTTACTGACTAATGTTATCCACAACGATTCAAATTTTTCATTATATTTTGAATTTGATTTTTTCTTTTAAAGGCTTTCAAATGAACATTATCTATAATACTGATTGTAAATTTTATAATCTTGATTAGCAAATATTGAGGTTTTAATTTTAACTTATTTTTAAATAATTAATTATGTATTGATAGCTGATGAGCATAAATACCACATTTAATGTTCAAGAATGGACATATCAAAATTTTTAATTACATTTGAATATACCATTTATTTGAATAATATTTAATCAATATTATTTATCTCAATCAATATTTAATCAAATGCCCTTATACTTCTAACATCGAAAATTCATTAATTGCCTAATAAAATTTCTAAATTATTAAATAAATTCCTGAAAGCTTTATATAAAGTTTTGTGCATGCAGTTATTGTAGTTTTAATTTTTTAATTTATTTTATTTTTAACCTAGAAAGATTATTATTTTTAATAATGATTATAATATTTTCATTATTGATTATAATAATAACCTAAAAACATATTATCTGAAATATATTTCAGATAATAATATCATAAACATAAAAGTAGGGAACAGAAACAACCAAAATCTAAATGAATAAATGTTACTCAATATATTCTTTAACTTTTTTTTCCATTTAACTTAAATTTCAAGGGAATGATAATCACTTTGAATCATGTGTGGTATCTGTTAGAAACTCTTTGTGTTTGTTGAGATTTTATAACTAAATATTAACATTTTCATTTGTGAAAAAATGGTCTTAAAGTGGAAGAGAATAGAACATGGAGAGGTAATCCTTATATTTGTAACCTTTATTACACTTTAATAATTTTGATACACAATTAATTCTATAGATAAATAGTTTATTTCTTTAGCTTGGGAAGATTTTTCTTTCCTAAAATTAATTTATTTAAATTGTTTTCTCTTAGAAAAGAAGGAAGAAAGTAAATTTATTGAAGAAATGAAAGTTTTTAAAACTGCTAAATATTTTAAAAATTTTATTTAAAATGAAATAATGTTTTGAATTTAAGTTATTCAAATTATATTATAATTTCAAACATATAATTTAATTTATTATAAATAAATAACAATGAAAGAATAAAATAACCTTTTTAGTAAGGAAGTTTTAACTTTGCATATGATTGAAAATGCAAATTGATTTAATTTTTGAGGAATAACACCCGCCAAAAAAAAAAAAATTTATTCTTCAAGCATAATTTCAGATTATTAAAATACTCAACAAAAACTAACCCATGCTAATCCAATGATATCTCGTCCACATCAAAAAAATTAAACTTCTTTTATTTCTCATTTTGCAAACATTCTTATTTATTTTCTTTTATAGTATTTTTCAATGTAAATGAAAATTATTTTCATGTAAGAAATTCAGTTTTATTTTCAATTTATTATGACTGAATCATACTCTATGTCTTTCTAAAATAAATAAAGTAAATATAAACATTTGCTAGACTTTGATACTGGAATGATGGTAAGTCTGTAGATCGATAAGGGGCAAATTGGGCTTTAAAGGTTTTGATGCACAAACCAAGAACCAGATAGTTCCTTCGGAATTATCGGGCCCTGTATTCTTAAGTCCAAATACATGCTATTTTCGAAGTAATGCAAGGCAAAGGGTTCACATCCACATAACCTTAAGTTAATTGTAGTGCTGCCATGGAATATATGTCTCATTTTGTCAACTTGAGGTCCCTATGACCAAGAGAGGAGGAATTTATATTGTTTATCAAAGGTGTTAGTTGTCGGTAAACCATTTCATCGTTAATTTTTTATCAAATCCCAAAATTGAGCCACCAATTTTGAAGGTTTCCTTCTCCATCAGGTGGGAAAAATAGTTCAATCATGCTGAAAATTCAGACAAAAAGTTATGAAAAAAGAAACTTTATTTGCAAATAACTCAAAAGTTACATACTTTTAACTTGGTTATGCTGATGATTATATAAAGATTAAATTCCCTACAAAAGGAAAAAAAATCATTGAAATCATACAACATTAATAAGGTTTACAATTAATTTTTATTTCTTTTTTCGATTATATTCAGCGGAAAAGTAACGATCTGTATCTTATGATACGTTGCATTATTTTATTTTCTTATTAATTTGCCATTTCATCACTAAACAATATACAGTTTCCACACAGGCCAACTAGTTTAAATAATCTTACCAATACAAATTTTAGCTAACAAACAACATACATACACACATATTCATATTTATATATATATATATATATATATATATATATAATTATATATATATCACTTAATAATATAATCATAGGAACAGAACTATATTTTTAAGTGAGTAACAGCAATTAAAACTATAATTTTTCTTTTAATTTGTTTTTTTATAACTTTTTTGAATAGACAACATGATTTTGAAAAATCGTTTTGGAAAATAATTATACTTTATCTTTATTTTGTTTTAATTACTTCAGTTGAGCATTTAATTAATGGGTAAATTGATGACCATAAGGGCAATAATTTGATTAATATCATCATTATATTAATTAATAATCAGCACTAAAATCTCAATATTTGGTATCTACAGTATTTAACTTTATGTGCTAAGATCAAGCAAATTTCTACAACCAAATTATATTCTGAATTAAATTTTTCTAGTTAAGTCAACAAAATTGTGAACAAAATGTTTGCTATGCACTTTTACGAACCATTGTAAATCACCCACAGCAGTTAATAATTTGTTTGAAACAGTGTTATTATTTAGTTTTCTAATTTTTCTTTAATTTCTATTCCATATAAGCCTTCAGTTATTGGAAGGAAGTAGTACTCCTGACTTTTATTTTTTTTTATTATTTAATCTTTTTTATTTTTAAAAAGTTGGATTATATTCTATTTGTTTAATTATTTTTTATTTTCTGTTTTTATTTTTATTTTGCTTTGAATGATCATTTGCAATTTTGTTTAGCTTTTTTGTTTTATTTTTGCAGTTTTCTACCTTATTTCACGAGCATTGAATGCATGCGAAGTGGCAGTGAAACGGGATTGATGGATAGTGTCATAGCATTGTAGCCAACCAAGAACTTTTCATTCCAATATTAAAAAAATAAAAAAAATTGAAGGAAAGTATGAATTTTCGACATATGTTGTACATTTATTTATTTGATCAGTTTTTGATCGTGCATTAATTGAATAATATAAGCAATAATTGTTGTATATATGTCAAGTTAATGATGCTTATTAAGATTTTTATTATCTACATAAAATATTTTTTATATATATACATTTTCAGATTTTGAGCTGTTTAGTCATGTTCTTTTCTAACTTTTATATGTGAAAAAAAAAATTAATATACTGAAAATTTAGTTTAAGACAATTTTTGTAAAGATACTTGATAATGTGATCTTGGGTTGTACCAAGTCATGTATTAATGAAGTCAAATGAAACTAAAAATTTATCTTAATTTAAAATTGATGCAATTTCGCTGCAAAAATCAGAAATAATTTACATTTTCCAATTGTACAAATATTATGTATATATGAAAATTTGACAAAAGATTTGGTCTAAAAATTGGAATATTTCTTAATTGTATACTAGCTGATTGATGATATCTAACTTAATTTCAGAAAGTTAATTCTGCACATATTATTTTAATTTATATTTCTAAATAATAAACATCAGTAGTCTTCATACTTTTATGGAACATAGAACCTTCAGGGGTATTGAATAATTTTATTGAGGTATTTATTGAAAAAAAAAAAATGTTTGAAGGAACTCTTGGGTAACAAAGCATTGCCTAAAATGATTTTTATTTCAATATCTTTTTACTGTATTTTGATTATAAAATCAATTTGTCCAAATTTTCTCACAATATTTTCTGCCATGAGTCCTATAATTTTGTATAATCAGTTTAAAAGTTTAAAATATATCTTTCAACAATTTCATTGAATATTTTTTTGATTTTTATGCAATTTAAAAAAGTAAGGAAACCTTGTAATTCAATATTAGTTCCTAAACTTTAATTAGATAATTAAAATTAATCCAGAAACAAACAACTTTCTATGAAATCCTCAATAATTTTTTTTGTTATTTGTGTTCTATGGATCATGTTTTGAAAACTGCTGATGTAGCTAAGCCATTTCTGAGTAGGTACTATACTTTTGTATGTATTATCAAGTAAAACTTTTGATATTCTTGGTTTCTATTACAAAAACTAAATTGTAAAGTTCCAATTTTTACGAGAAAATAATGATGTGAAAATTAGCTTTTGTTTATTTTTAGGATCTGATGCCTATTTTCAGGTTGATTTTAATTGTAAATATGTTAGTACTAAATTGAATGATTTAAAAACTTGTTAATGAATTTACTTTTATTTCAATTTTAAAAACTAACTCGAAATATTAATCTGTATATTATTGATGGTTATATTACCTTGATATTTATTGTATATATTGTACTTTTTATATTATACATATTTAATTTTTCATTTATTAATTGTATGTAAGATATTATTTCAAATATTTTACTATTGATAGGCAAAGATTATAATCTAATATTCCTATTATGTATAGGAAAATTAAGAAGAAATCATGGATACATAATTGGAATTGATGCACTCGGTAATGAAATGTAGTATCATTTCTTAAAACAGCATTTAATGGCTGTGTTCACACAGGGTTTTTGGATCTTGTGAGAAAACTGTTTATGAGATCAGGTTTCTTAGAAAACATTATTCTATATGTTAAGCAACTATTAATGTAAGAAGGATCACATACAATATAGGTAAAACACCTCTGATTATTCATTAAAAATATTAAGAAGTTATTTTTACTTCATTCAGTTTCATTTAAAAATATATATATGTTATTTAATTTTTGAAAAAAAAAATAGAAAGGTGTTAATTAAATTTAACAGCTTACGACTATTTGGTGGATACTAATG